TGTTATATGTTATATGTTATATGTTATATGTTATATGTTATATGTTATGTTACATTTTTGTGAATCTATATTAAAGAGAAATGTTAATAAAATAAATAATATAAACTTTTATAACTTGCACACCTATTGTTTTCATATTTAAAATTTCCATATGGCCCTCTAACACGAATTATATCACCTACTTCTACGTTTTTTAGGTATTGACTAAATTTTCCATTTGGATAAAGTCTAATTAGAAATTCAATAGAGTCATCTGTAAAAAAAATTGGTGTGTATGGTTTGGCAGTATCATGTATATGTAATACAACATGTTGTCCTGGATCAATTAATATTCTGCAATCTTCATAATTATTTTCTATAAGAAGTAAATAATCATTAATATTATAAATAATTGAAAATAATATATTTAACAATGACTAATTACCATTGTATTTCAAAACAAGTAAAATGTAACATTCGGATAGTTCTTGTACATTAAAAACTACAAAATTTCTGTATGAACATAAATGTAATATATTTGGTTTGTTTTGTATTTTTATGCTTTGTTTCTTTCTTCTTTCATATTCTTCGAGCAATTTTTTGTGTATATCAAAAATACAAGGATCACATGCACTATGACAACAATCTTCCTCTGATGGTGTTACTGGTCTGCTATTTTCATTATTATTATCAGTACACATAATATATTTGTTATATTAAATATAATACTATTTGTTATGTTAAATATAATATATCGCACAATTAATTTTTAATGTTTTATTTGTTTCTAAAATAAAATGCCGTAAAATATGTAGAACCTTATTGTTAAAATTTTAAATAATAATTTTATAATGTCAGTTCATTTGCTTGTTGTACTTGCAAAATTTCTACTAATACGACGATTATGATTGATACGACATTTATTAGATAATATGTCAATATTTGGTCTTCAAAATTTTTTTACTTCGTTGTTGTGTATAAACGAATTGACTTTTTTTTTACTTATTGTCTAATGTTGCAGACAATCAAAATAATTTTTTAAAAGAATGTACGATGTTTTATACTAGATGAATACACACAATGTCGTCTGCATGATCTATTTTTAGCGATCAGCTGTTCAACTGTCAAAAACGATACAGATAAATTTACTTATAATGTATAATTAATATATTTAAGCAATATTAAATTTTCTCTTCAAAAATGTTCAATATACAGAGAAATAAAGCAGAGTTTCTCAAAATGTTACAACTAGGATAATTATCTACTGATTATAAAAGATGACGCAGCATACGAAAACGATTCGCACAAAGTTAAACAATACTAAAATAATACTGATATGAGAGTCATATTTCGAACATTAGTAATCATATATATCCGATCTAGTAAATCTTGTTAGTTTTAATAGTCTGATATTACATTTCCAAACAATACAACCAGTATTTTTATGTGATTTCATTTTATACTCATTGTGGTGCTATTATTTATAACATAAATATAAAATGGAAAACACGATTGTAGGATGGAAACGTTATATACTAGTACAACCATCCATGATGATGTTAATAATTGCTCAGGCAATAACAAGTAATTTTGATATATTTCATATATTTTATACATATTAAATGATATATCACATATAAATAATCATGCACAAGATATATTTAAGTATTATTACTTAAATGTGATAAACTCTCCTTTTAATTTTAGTAAATATTTAATGTATGTAAAAAGATATTAAAGCATTAAAATAATTGTTTTTAGAACTATTTATTTAAAATAAAATAATTATTTTTATTCATATTTTAACCATAATTTATTGGGTTATTGATTTGTACATAAGCTTAATTCGAATTTTAGGTAATATTTTAACAGATTTAATAGTGTATCGCACTTGTAGTATAACATTAGGCATGAATAAAACAGAATGTTCATTATTACATGAAAATAGTAGTTCTGCAGAAGCCTTGAAAATAGATGGTCAAGTTCAACCCAAAGCAAGCTTAATTTTAATGACAAGATCAATTATTGAAAGTATTATACCTGCTTTGTTGTCTTTATTTCTGGGCCCATGGAGTGACATATATGGGAGGAAGTCTATTATGTTGTCTGGATATATTGGTTAGTATTGTATGCCTTAAAAAATAATATTATATGTATTCAGTGTATAATTTATGTCATAGGTATATCATTAACATATATCATTCTCTCCCTTATGACAATTTGGGATATCGATCCATGGTTTTTATTAATTGCATATATTCCATATGCGTGTTGTGGAGGATTTTGTGTAATTTTATTAGGTACTATTTGTTATCTTACTGATATATCAAATGAGCAGGAAAGAGGGTGGCAATTAGCTTGGATGGAAGTTTTGATATCTGTTGGTATTTTAACTGGTATACTAGCTGGTCCCATTATTTTTCAAGCATATGGATACACAGTTGTATTTGTTATTGCTACTGTATGTTGCATTGTAGCAGGATTGTATATTTGCATTTTTGTTCCTGAGACTACATACAGCACAGATTCAGTATGTATTTATTATGCTATTAATATGCAATTATTATTGTTAATACCTTCCTAATGTTTATAGATAACTATAAAAAGTTTGTTTGATATACATTTGGTCAAAAAACTTATAAGTACTTGTATTAAAAAACGAAACGGCTTTGATCGATATGTAGTTTGGTGTTGTATAACTTGCATTATTTTAATGATTATTGCTTTACAAGGAGATATGACTATTGGCTTTTTATTTGCAAGTGCTAGACTTGGTTGGAATGTAAGCGAATATTCCATTTATTTGGCTACAAGTATTATACTTTCAATTCTTGGTACAATAGTTGGAGTAAAATTGTTGGTGACACATGGTATAAATCAAAATTTATATGTTTAATATTTTTAAAAAGTGTGATAAATGAAATGTTAATTAGAAAAATAATGCTTGTATAGGTTTTGCTGAAGAAATGACAGCTATATTGTCATTATTGTCTGCTTTGGGTAGTTGTTTAGTACAAAGTTTTACATTGAAATCTTGGCACTTGTACCTGTCTGCAGTTGTAAGAATGTTTAGTGGTATTGCTAGTCCTATGATTCGTACTATAATATCCAAATCAGTGCCGTCAGAAGATACTGGTAAATGTTGTTAAACAAAAAAGAAAATATATTTTTTTAATATAAAATTTAGGACATAATATTTACAAAATTTTGTAGGTAAAATATTTTCCATGACTATTTCTATTGAAACATTAACTCCATTAGTGGCATCTTCTTTGTACAATTTGATTTATTTACATTTTATGCCACCTATATATCCATCACCAGTTTGGTTAATTTCTGTAGGAATTTATGCTATTGTGATATTTGTTTTAATAAATATACGAATACAAAACGCAAGGTCTAATTCTGTAAGATATACATCATTGAAACAAGATGATGAATTATCATCATAAACTTTCATAAATATTTATTTAAAGAAATGTGACAGTAAATATACAATTATAATGGAAGATTTTTTTAGTACAAATGTTCATAACTATACATATAATAAATATAATTTGTATATATATTGTATATTGTTTATATGGTTTTATAATGTAATAATGATATTAAATAAAGTATAAAGAATTTTAACCAACCCTGTAAACAATTTATTAAAAATATATTTATTCGCATTGCGAAATTTTACCTGATAACTGGATGCAAATCATTCACATCAATAAATGTACGTAATTCATAATTCGTCATAATAATCAACATGATCACCGGATTTATATTTTTGTTCTTTAAGAACCGTTAAAAGATGATTAACTGTTTGCTCACAAGTTAGAACAGTTTTTTTCGTTAACATATCTTTGAATTCTGTTTTCATTTGTTTGTCAGCAAGTTCATTACAAATTTCATAATACATATCGGTTTCAACCGGTCCTGGTGAATAATTTAAGACATTGATCTCTGGATTTTCTACTGCAAATACCTGCTCGATATATTAACAGATTAATAAAATATAAAATAAAAATTATACAGATCGTTTATATTAATATAAAATTATTACTTTAAAAAACATTTCTCGTGCTGCTTTTCCTGAACAATAGTAACTTAAATATTTTCCCGGTTTTATGCCATATAATGATGTAATATTTATAACCAGTTTTTCAGTATTTGTTTTTTCATTGAATATTTGCATAATAACCCCATTTAATATAGCAGGAACAAAAACATTTAGATCGTAATAATCATGCCACATATTTATATCGGTCAGATCATTTGTACACTGATTCATAGGTCCAAGTGAACCAACGTTATGTATTACAACTAGTCGATCAAACTCATGTAAAGCTTGATCTTTTAAAGACTGCATTATAATATCTAAAAAAAAATATATATATATATAGTGTTTATATATATATATATATATAATGTGAATTTATTTTAAAAATATATATAAAAAATGTATATATATATTTACCATGCAATTTATCTTTTGTTGTTTTAGCTAAATCAGCACTAACAGTATCAACAGATACACTTGCAGGAATATTTTTTGCCGTTTCTTTTAAAGCATTTAAATTTGTTGCTAATAAAAGCACATGTGAATCTTTTTCCAGAACTGAACCAATGGATATTGCAAGCTGTTTTCCAATTCCACGACTTGCACCTGTAACTAGTAAAAATACTTTTCCCGATAATACCTTGATTGACATATTTTTTTTCAAAGCTTCAGTTCTACTTTATTCTTTTGACTGATAATTTGTGGTTTGTTTATCTGTTAGTGTTTGTCAATCTCTTCTTCTTGCACAGATTCGTTAACAATTTGTAGAACGTCTGCTTTCAAAAGATGAACTAATTCGTTAGCTGTTAAGGCCTAAAATAAATATTATAAATTTCATATACATAATACGATTAATAATAAATATAAATTGTTTATATTTTCATAATTACCTGTAAGTGAGGTGCTATATGTCTTATTAATGGATTTGAAGCAAGTTCAGTTTCTTCTTCTGTTTCAAGCTTACATCCAGATGTTATTAAACGTGCAATAGAATCTTCCTTTGCTTCAAATAAAGATGTTACAAGATCTTTCTTTGATGTACCTTTTTGAAGACTTTTAAGCCTAGAATCTGTGGCATAATTTTATAACTACACGATAATAAATTCGAAATAGAATAAAAACAATAAAAAAAAAATTTAACGGAGCTTTAAAAGGAAAGATTTTAATGGAAGGTCAAAAATTATAACGCATTGCACATAGCATATCTCTATAAAAAGAAAAAACAAAAAAAAACAGAAAAATGAAGAAACTAATAGATTTTTCTATTAAAACTTACAAAGTTTTTCTAGGTATTCTTCTGAATCAGCTAATTTGACGTGTTGCGTTTGATTTCCTACGAAAGAATCTTCAAAACAATTTTTACACTTATCATTACTGGATTCTGGAACATCTGTTCCACACCATGGATCAGTAATATCTGTCTTCATATTTTACGTAATTGTGCTCACAAATAATTTAACAGAATTTACTTGTTTTATTTTTTCTGATTTATGATGACATCCAGGTTACCCAACAACTTACATATACGTATTTATTTTCACTGACACTCAGTAATCAATAAGATATTTATCTATGTTATTTTATCACAATGTCTTTTTCTTGTTAATTTTCAAAATATTATTTTCATCACAAGTATCTGTGGATTATATAATACTATAATATATTTAACATCTATTATTTATTAATATAAATATTTAAAATAATTTAGAATTAAATTCTTGAATTTTATTAAAAATGTAAAATTATATTTAAATATTATAATGATTTCCGAATTTCAACTAGAAATTTTAAAAATTATAATTTTTAACTTCGAGAAAGTATTTAATAAGCATTAAATGAATAAAATATACGAAGCTATGGAAATAACATTTAGCAGTATTCAATTATAAAAATATAGCTTTTTTTCTTTTTTAAGATGTAATAAAAATGTAATAAATAGATTACAATCTTTTATGAGTCATTTATTATTGATGTACAAATATACAATAAAGGACATTCAACACAAATTTGATATGATCAAAAAGCATACATTAACATAGAAAAATGTTTACAAAAATATTTGTTTTATTATATGGTATAGGCAATTATTAATACTATTTATTACAATGTTGAGACCTCAATCTAAAATAGTGTATCTATGTATAACATACATATGTACTATATTTCTTTTAAATACCATATTTTTGCAGAACTTACAACAAAATAATATGATTCTATGTATGCTGATTTGTATAATATTAATGGTTAATTTTAAGTACTTTTCTTCCTTTCATTCACAATAAACATTACAATATAAAAATGTATTTGCTAAGTTGTAATGTAAATTAAAATAAACATATTTTTAAAACATCAAAAAATATTGAATTACAGAAATAATGTTATAGTTAAAAGAATTTCACAGATGTAGAATCAAAATCAAAAAAAATATTAATTTCAAAAATTATAATTACAAATACTTTTGGATACATTTTAAAAAACCAGTTATTATATTTTATCTTTTTAATAATGTATTGAAACAGATATTGTACCTGCTTTTCAGTAGTAACAAGTTACATAAAAAGATAATATGCATATTATATTTAAATACAGATATTAATTATATGTATACATTATTTTCTTTTCATTTAAAGCATATATTCAATTTATAACATTAATATCAAAGATTCAGGAACATTGGTTCTGTAAGAAGCAGTACGAAGCTTGAAAATTAATTATTAGTTCCATATACTTCAAAAACATTGTATATAGAATGTGTTGAACTATATAATTACAAGTATCTCAAACTTACACATTCGCAAAATATGTAAATTATTGTCATTTAGAATAAAAAACTAAAGTGTTACTTTTTATACATGTCTAAGATAAATTATCTTAAAATACATATCAATTTGAGCAAAAATTTTAACATATATGTTCAATTTTAAACATATTAAATTTATTAAACATATTAAAATTATTAAAACTGAAAAAAGTAAAAATCACATTATAAATCGCAGAAACGTACAAGATGCTATTGAACTTTGTAAATATGTTATATTAATCTTAAAGAAATAACATCGTGAAAATATTTTTTTCTAACAATAATTAATTTAAATATTTCCTCAAATATTATTTAAAAATATTTGTAAAATTATGTATTAATACTTTTTGTTCCTAGAATTAATAGAACATACAAAATTTAGTACAGTCCTGAATTCAATTCTGAAATATTTGTACAAATTACAAATGAAAATATTGTAAATACAAACCTTTTACCTTTTAGTCTCTATTCTTTTTCTTGTCTTATTTCTTTTATTATTCTAAATTTACTATTTATCAAAATTACTATTAGAACTGAAAATCTAAAAAAATATTTGTATTTATTGACTGGAAATTTACTTAATATTTAATTCGACTAATTTATATAATTTAGATATACGCTAAGACTTCTAAACAGTTTTGCGTATCTTTTTGTGTTTTATGTACAAAAATTATAGAATTTGAGAAAATTTAAATTTTATAATCACAGCGCTTGCTAACATTTTCGATATTACTTTTTAATATTTCATGAAGATGTTTTAAATATCAATTCATTATTATGCTTTATATATAAAAAAGAACTTGCTTGTAAATAGGTGAGTTGTTCATGCAAGTATATATATCATAATAAAAATGTATTAAATAACTGATTTGATTTTTATGCATAATATTTAATGCAATATATAGTTTCAATATGATGTATATATCCTGATGCATTAATGATGTCAATGGAATTTGTAACATTTCACATTTCATCATTTATAGATAAAAATTCTTGAATATTATAGAATATTTTTTAACATACCAAGTATTATTTAATAAATATTTTGACAGTAATATAAGAATGCAAAATGTTGGTATCAGAAAATGATATCAGAATTTCTATTTTATAGAATTTTTGCAGCATGAAAAGCTGTACAATTAAATATAGCGTGTA